ATGCTTTTAAAATTATTCTGGTAATTATGAGTTTAAAAGTCGAGAAGTTTGAGTACATGTCGTATCTTGTGTTGTTATAGGAGGGACCAAATTCTTTCTTTTGAACTGTATTTTATATGTTTACAGTATACAGTTTGTCTGAGTGTACCTTACATATAAAACCAAAAAGCATGCTGGCAATGAGATTAATGTTGCAAATTATGTCATTCCCAGGGAATTTCATATTCTTATTTGTTCCATATTTTACCAGCATGCGCTACTGTTCAGATAAAAAAAAATGATCGTGACACATACTAGTGATGGTATATTATGTTGGCATCTGGACCTAAATGTTGCATTGAGATAATATGTGGAATGATCATCACTATTTTTTGAACTTGCTTTCCTCTGTCAAATTGGTAGGTTGTAAAGAGCTTCTCATCTGGTAAAAGGGAGGGTGGAGACTTCGTTGCAGCCTGTGTTTCACCTAAAGGAGAATGGATTTACTGTGTTGGTGAAGACAGGTATCCTGATTTATGTATAATATGACACATCTCCTTCATGTAATCTGGTATACCCATTTTAAGTACATTATGGAAAAATGGAAACTACATCATGTATGCTTTATGATTGATATTATCTCATATTCCTTAAGCACAATAATTTAGTCTAAGATTACAGTAACTTCAGTGAGTTCGATGAAGTTTTCCAAATCAGATTTTGTTGAAATAATATTCCTAATCCTCCATTAATCTTTCCAAAAATTGTTATATATTCTTAATGGGACGTGCAAATTGAATGCAGGAATATGTACTGCTTCAGCTATCAATCTGGCAAATTGGAGCATCTAATGAAGGTATTTCTTTGGTATTTGTATTTTCTACCTTTATCTTGTTAAATCTTGGGTTAAAAATGGGGGTTTAGGTAAAATTTGTACATACCAACTAGAACTGGAATCAGCCTCCATTTCACATTTATGCATTGAAACTCATTTCTTCAGATAGTATGTTGTGTTGTGCATTCTCTGTTAATGCCCTCTGCGTTGTGTATCGTTAAATGGGATTTTATATTGTATTCTGTTCCCATGCAATATGCTTCTTTTTCAACTGAGGTTATTATCTTCATATATAAATTTAGTTATGATATAATGAAATTCTGTGTGCTAATGGCAGGTTCATGAGAAGGAAGTTATCGGTGTCACTCATCATCCCCATAGGAATCTTGTTGCCACTTTTAGTGAAGACTGCACAATGAAGTTGTGGAAGCCGTGAATCTTGTGTGCGTTGGGTCTATTTCTATCTTTTTAACATAAACATCTGTGTAATTTGTGCAATGTATATATTCAGGAGTTTAATTTTAATGCATTTTTAGTAATATTATTTTATACTGTTGGCCAATGGATATATTCAGGAGTCTAAATGTAATGATGTTTAAGGTACTGTATTCAAGAAAACTGAATATAAAAGTTAGATAAGAAAATATGCACCGATGATTTTTCTACCAATTCAACCACTACTGCTTTAACTTGCGTCCAGTAGTCAAATCTTTTTAAGTCTTTCCAAACAGCACTAAAAAAATACTTGTTTTTTTTAATCTTTCTAAACACATCATAAATACCTCATCAAGGCTTAGGAATACCGAGATATCTCACAATACCCTTTGAGAGGTGGCCCTATTATTTTTTTTTACAAAAACTAAAACGAAATTACATTCATGTGATGAATACACAAGTTGCAAAACGTCTTATTTGAACTTTTCTTGAACATTGAGAGAATCAATTTAAGAGTTCATTCTTTTAAAACTAGGTTATAAAGACATAACATATGTTTCTCTTTTTACTTTTTCATATATATGTTATGAGGTCAATGAAAAAAAACGCTAATATATGAATTTTGTTTTTTAATCATTTATTAATGATTAATCTTTATTAAAAAAGTTGTGATCCACAATTTTGTTTTGACATATATCAACCATGAAGTTAGTTTAATATTGTTTTTCGATATTACTGTTTTTTTTTTAATTTTATTTGAATTTAAAAATATATGTATAATTGATTTATTTATACTATATTTCTTGTTACTTTATAAATATTTTAGTAAAATTGACCTAACAAATTATTATTATTATTATATTTTTATTGAATAATTATGATATTAGAAAAAATAAAATTAGAAATATAAATTATTATCACTTATTAGTGTACATGTTAAGATATATTTAATTGTATATAACTTGGAGAACTTTTATGAAGGGAGATGATAATATACTAATAATCTATACTTTATACTAACTTTTATGAAAACTTTTACAGGTTCTACATTGTATCTCCAGATAAAAATAATAAGGACGTGGAGAATATATGGGAAATTACAACTAAATTCGTTATTTAATAAATATTTCAAAATTGTATTATACACCGACCTTTTCATAACATTATCATCTCAATTTAAACACAAATATATTGTGGTCAACAAGTTGCATCATCCGATTTATCTTTTTGAGTCTTCAACATTTTATTTTGAATATAGTTTTTTTAAATAACTTTTATAATTAACAGAATTATTTTACATGATATTATAAACTTTTTAAACATTTTTTAAAAACATATTTTAAACATTAATATACTTTACTATTAAAATAAAAAAAATTCTTCGAAACCTAATTCAACATAATCTTAAATATAAACCAGTTTTTAAAATATCATTTCTTTTATAAGGTAATCAAATGAATGACTGCATTAAAGTTTACTTTAGGGGCATAAGTTTCTGTCGAGGGAGAAAATACATGCCAATAATCAATATAAAATATAAATGTGGTCTATCTTAATACCGGGAGATATAATTCACCGTTTTTATATATATGAAGATACCTATCTGAATTGTCTCCCAACCACAGAAGATGATGAAGTGAATTAGCGTGAGACGACTTTGACTTGAACGTCTTAGAAAATAATAGAGGCGTAAATCTGTTGGACCATTTCCATATCCTCAGCAAAATCAGAAGAATTATTAAACAAAACCCATTTCTTTTTCTTGTTGACAATTCAATATACGCAAAGATTAACTCTTTTTCAGCTTTGACATCGTTATTCAGGTCAACATTTCACATTAAGACACTGCCAAAAACAAATGTTTGCCTTGTGCTATTTCGATTTCTATTTTTTTTTTATAGCAAATAATAATATATTTTTACAAATATAAATATAATATATATCCGAGATAGACTAAGCTACGTGTTCGAGATGAACTGACCTAAAGGTGAATTGTATGTTTGGTTTTTGGTGGATGTTGCTCAAACATGGAGGTCTGAGATCTTTCTGAATTAGTTAGTTTTCTGATAAGTTGACACACCATGAAAACAGAATATAGATCCTCTTCATTCTTTTGTTTTTATCTCTTATTCATTGCTATAGTTAATATATATTAATATTCTTTATATACTTAAAAAGAATATAATAAATAAACAAGAAATGAAGAAAATGTCTCCAAACGTAATAAATGAACAAGAAATGAAGAAGATATCTCTAAATGTAAAAGTAAGTGTACTTGCAAAATACATTGACATTGTAATAATTCAACTAGAGTGATGATATAAAAATAATTTTTTATTACAATTTAAATTATTCATTGTAAATTGAAAATATACTATATATGTTTAAAATATTTATTTATTCTAAACTTCAATTCTAATGTTACTTAATATATGTAGAAATATTTATTTATTATAAAATTTAATTATATAAAAAATCGGCTTATGTCTCTTTCTTTATATACGATGTTAGTTGAACTTTTGGATTTAAAGTTAGTTTTATTAAGTAACGTTATTCAATTTTAATTTTTAGGTTGTTTTATATTACAAATTATTTAACAGCATGTATTTATTAGAAGACAAGAAAAACGAATCAAAACAAAGAAGCACAACGTTATTTTATATAATGGACATATACAATTTACATTTTATTTGTCAAACTATAAAAATACTTTTTTAAATTATACCCCCCTTCAAAATACATATGAAAATATTTTTTTTTTTACTTTTATATTGGAAAACTGATTTGATTTTATTTGTAAATAGAAGAAATTATAGGATTTTTTTTATTGTACTATGAAGTTAGTAATTAATAATGAATGCTTTTTTAGAAGGCAAATTTAATATTAAATTAAAAGTAGTTTACCAAAGGCAGAAAAATTATTTATAAATAATTAGTGTGGAAAAAAATAATAAGTAAATGTTTACAAGAATAAAATGTAGATGTCTTATTATTCAAAAAATAAAATAAAACTTTCCTGTTTACACAAACATCGTTTTTGGCTGTGAAATATTTGATGACGTTAAGTGAAACTGCGGTCAAACTGAGATACGAACAAGTTATGTTAGCTAACGTTATCCATGGAAGAAAAATTGTATTTATTTAATGTTGTATACATTATATAACCCTACATGAAAATGATTGGACTATACATTATGTTCTTCATATAATAATAATAATAATAATAATAATAATAATAATAATAATAATAATAATAATAATAATAATAATAAAAGTTGAAAATATATAAAAAATATTTTACTTGCATTTTTTTTTAGAAAATTCATATTATAGTAGCAGTTACTTGATAACCCAAGTTTAATATCATCCTCCTTCTTCAAATAATAATAATAATAATAATAATAATAATAATAATAATAATAATAATATAATAATAATAATAATAATAATAATAATAATATTTTTTTTTAATTGATTGATGATACAATGATAATGTAAAACAATTTTATACTATTATTCAAATGTTCAATATGATAAGTTTATTAACTTTTATAATAATTATTTTAAAAATTATATAAATTATCATTTTTGATTTAATTTTATAAAATTTTTACACTCACAATACAATACATGACTATTTTATACTCGAAGTTCAACTTTTTTTTAAAAAGGAAATATAATCAAATAAAAGAGAAAAACGAAGCATTGCATGTTGGACCATTATAAATACACATATTAATATCATCAACAAACCAAAGAAGCAAGTATGGCTTTGTGTTCTCAAATACTTGTTCATTTTGCCTCATTACTCATCCTCCTCTCTCTTCAGCTACACAACCTTTTCATTGGTGTATCATCAGCCACTTTAAGCATAACCACAGACACTGAAGCATTGATCTCATTCAAGTCTCAACTCAGTAATGACACTCTCAACACCTTATCTTCTTGGAACCATAACTCTTCCCCTTGCAATTGGACTGGTGTCCTGTGTGACAGGCTTGGCCAAAGAGTAACAGACCTGGACCTTTCAGGCTTGGGCCTCTCAGGCCACCTAAGCCCTTATATTGGCAACCTCTCCTCTCTTCAAACACTTCAGTTGCAGAATAACCAACTCACTGGAGTGATTCCTGACCAAATTGGCAACCTATTAAGCCTGAGAGTTCTAAACTTGAGCTCTAACATGTTTGAAGGAAAGCTTCCTTCAAACATCTCCCACTTGATTGACCTCCAGCTTCTTGATTTATCATCAAACAGGATTCTCAGCATGATTCCTGATGACATCAGCTCCTTGAAAAAGCTTGAGGTTTTGAAACTGGGAAGGAATAGTCTCTATGGTGCAATTCCTGCATCTTTAGGAAACATTTCTTCTCTCAAAAATATCAGCTTTGGCACCAACTCTCTCACTGGCTGGATCCCCAGTGACTTGGGTAGGCTCCATGATTTGATTGAGCTTGATCTCACTCTCAATAATCTCAATGGGACTGTTCCACCTTCTATATATAACTTATCTTCTCTTGTTAACTTTGCCTTAGCTTCAAACTCTTTTTGGGGTGAGATTCCTCAGGACGTTGGTCACAAACTTCCAAAACTCCTGGTGTTCAATTTCTGCTTCAATAAATTCACAGGTAGAATTCCAGGGTCATTGCACAACCTCACCAACATTCGGGTCATTCGTATGGCATCCAACCATTTGGAAGGAACAGTGCCACCTGGTTTGGGAAATCTCCCATTTCTTCGCATGTATAATATTGGCTATAACAGGATAGTGAGTTCAGGTGTGAGAGGTCTAGACTTCATTACTTCTTTGACCAACAGCACTAAACTGAACTTTCTGGCAATTGATGGTAATATGCTTGAAGGTGTGATTCCTGAAACCATTGGAAATCTTTCTAAGGATCTCTCAAAATTGTACATGGGAGAGAATCGTTTCAATGGGAGCATACCATCCTCCATTGGTCGTCTTAGTGGCTTGAGTTTGTTAAACTTGAGCTACAATTCAATCTCTGGAGAAATTCCACAGGAGTTAGGCCAGTTGGAGGAACTACAAGAGCTATCTCTTGCTGGAAATAAGATATCAGGAGGTATTCCAAACATACTTGGTAATCTCCTGAAGTTAAACCAGATTGATTTGTCAAGAAACAACCTTGTGGGAACAATACCTATCAGTTTTGAAAATTTGCAAAACCTACTCTACATGGACCTATCCAGCAACAAACTCAATGGCAGCATACCAATGGAAATCCTCAATCTTCCAACTTTGAGCAATGTTTTGAACTTGTCGATGAACTTTTTGAGTGGGCCAATACCTCAAGTTGGGAGAATGAGTAGTGTTGCCACCATTGACTTTTCTAGCAATCAATTGTATGGTGGCATCCCCAGCTCAATCAGCAATTGTCTCAGCTTAGAAAAATTGTTTTTGGCAAGGAATCAGCTCTCAGGTCCCATTCCAAAGAGTCTTGGAGATTTGAGAGGCTTGGAAACTTTGGACCTGTCCTCCAACCAACTCTCTGGAACCATTCCTACTGAACTTCAAAATCTACAGGTTCTTAAGCTCTTAAACCTATCATACAATGATCTAGAAGGATCCATTCCTAGTGGTGGAGTTTTCCAAAATCTATCTGCTGTCCATTTAGAAGGCAATAGAAATCTCTGCTTGCATTCCCCATGCAAAACTCATGGCCAAGGAACAAGAAATGTAAGACTTTACGTTATCATAGCCATTGTGGTAACAGTGATACTATGTCTCACAATTGGCTTAATACTATATATAAGGAACAAAAAGGTGAAGGTAGCAGCAGCAGTATCTGAACAGCTGAAACCTCAAGCACCAATGATCTCTTATGATGAGCTTCGTGTGGCGACCGAGGAGTTCAGCCAGGAAAACTTAATAGGAGTTGGTAGCTTTGGCTCAGTTTATAAAGGCCATCTAAGTCATGGAACTAATGTTGCAGTGAAAGTTCTTGACACCCTAAGAACTGGCTCTTTAAAGAGTTTCTTTGCAGAATGTGAGACCATGAAGAACTCAAGGCATAGAAATCTGGTTAAGCTGATCACATCATGCTCTAGTGCTGACTTTAAAAACAATGATTTTCTGGCTCTGGTGTATGAGTACCTTTGTAATGGTAGCTTGGAAGATTGGATCAAGGGGAGGAGGAAGCATGCAAACGGCAATGGGTTGAACCTTATGGAGAGGCTGAACATAGCTATTGATGTTGCTTGTGCATTGGATTACCTGCACAATGATAGTGAAATCCCAGTTGTGCACTGTGATTTGAAGCCTAGCAACATTCTATTGGGTGAGGACATGACAGCAAAAGTTGGGGACTTTGGATTAGCTAGGTTGCTAATTCAAAGCTCAACTAATCAAGTTTCCATTAGCTCCACTCATGTCCTTAGGGGCTCGATCGGTTACATACCTCCAGGTTTGTATCCTTCCTCTTTAATTAAACAAAACTTGCCATGTTAATGCATATGCCAATTTGTTTCTCTAGTAGTCTAGTCTAGTCTAATCCCTTTTATGAATCTTTTATTAAAAATTGTTAAGCATGACTAATAATTGGCATTGTTACTTGTGAAATGCAGAATATGGATGGGGAGAGAAAGCATCTGCAGCTGGTGATGTATATAGTTTTGGTATAGTGTTACTAGAGCTCTTCTCTGGTAAAAGCCCAACAGATGAGGGTTTCACAGGAGGTCTAAGCATAAGAAAATGGGTGCAATCAGGAGTGAAAGACAAGACAGTGCAAGTGATCGACCCTCAGTTGCTGTCCCTCATTTTCCATGATTACCCTTCTGAGGAACCAAATGTAGAAATGTATTGTGTGGATGCAATTGTAGGAGTTGCCATATCTTGCACTGAAGGCAATCCAGATGAACGCATTGGCATTAGAGATGCAGTTCGTCAACTAAAAGCTGCCAGAGACTCTCTTCTGAATCAGTCTCAGGAGAGTCCTAGGGATACCAAGTCTTACTAATTCCACGTTTCTTGGAAGTGAAATGTGTTGAGACTATGGTTCTTTGCAGCTATGTTTGACAAATAATGCCATAGTTCGGACAGTTGAGATATGAACATGAAATAATATACGATGCTTTTGTTGACCATATATGGAATGATCAAATGTTTCACTTTTCTCTACGTCAAAGAATCTCTCTAGTCGTGTACTATATACTTAACAAATTCAGTCGCATTTCTACCGCCAACCTTAAGTAGATATTTACAATAGATTACATGTCAGTTGTGAAATTTATGTATTATGACCGTTAAGAAGAATGGTGGATATTTTTTCCCGAACAGAGAATGTTGAGAATATGAATGAGTATCTATTATCAGATTACGGTAGAGTTTCTAATCCCATGAACTTTTTAAGTTATTACGTTATTTACCCTGGTTTACGAGTACATTTATTTCTCATTATTTTTTGGTTGTGCACTATTATAAAAATTGAACCACTTTAGTTACTTGTTTAATGATTTGTGCATCATTAAATCAATCAAGTTGACTTACATTAAAAAGAGAATTGGTCCACTTGAATATTCAAAAGTAAGTCTTAATCTATTCGATAACTTATATTATATTATATTATATTATATATATATATAATATAATATAATGAAGTATTATGTGATTTATATTTTTTTTTAAATTTGTATACTTAATTTTTATATTAAAAACTTTTAATTTTATAGTTGATTGTTGAAATTTAATTTATAACATAAATTATTGCATAAAATAAGTATATCAAAATTTTCTCTTAGAGTCGGTAAATTCTTTTTCTATATAAATTTTGCATTATGCATTTTCATTAAACACATAATTTTATTTTATACCTTTTATATTTTTAATTTTGTATTTTTATCTAAAAAAAAATAAGCAGTTAAGTAATATTTTAGTAAACAAATTTTCTATATTTTTACTACAAAATGTTGATATAAACACAATATTATATTTTTTTTTAGTAAAATGATAGATAGGAGCTACTACTCACCAAGGAGCCAAAGTGTTGGGAATATGCTAAATATCTTTAGGAAAATAAATTAGTTTTTGATAAGAATATTTTATTTATATTTTAAATATTTAGATTTAATTTATTTTGATTATTTTAGGATTTGTTTCCTTATATTTAGAATAGGATAATATCAATATTTGATTTTGTATAACAAATTTTCTCTATAAATAAATATTCATGAATAAAATTAAATTATGCTCCTTTGATAAAAATTTCTTATAAAATATCCCTCAGACAAATATCATAAAATTGTCTGAGGAGATATTTTATAAGAATTATTTTTATCAGAGGAGCATAATCTAATTTTATTCATGAATCTCTATTTATAAAGAAAATTTGTTATACAAAATCAAATATTGATATTATTTTATTCTAAAATAAGGAAACAAATTTTAAAATAATCAAAAATAAATTAAATCTAAATATTTAAAATAAAATATTCTTATCAAAAATTAATTTATTCTCCTAAAAATATTTAGGCATATTCCCAACATATGCATATATAACCAGCTCTACCTTGAATAGAGTTGAAATTTTAGCTGGTTCAAAATTTTATCTCCCAACCATCTGTTAATTTTTTTTTAATCACTTAACCAACTTCTTTTTTTTTTTACTAAATAGTAAATAAAGCAAATTTTATATAAGTTTCATATCAATTTAAGTATTTTAATTTTAATTAAAAATTGTGATTAGGTGTAAAGTCAATATAGATTGTTGAAGTTAATCACCCAAATTCATTACACTCAATAGGTAATACGAAAGAAGGAAAATTAGAGTCGAAAAGTTTACATCGACTTAGAACGCTGTTATACAAAACAGTTTTGAAAAATATGGTTATGTCTAACTAATAGTTTACGCATCTACTGTTTTGAAAGCTATGGGAGAAATATGGTCAAAACATGCCAAAATAAAATTTATAACAAAATCAAAGTTAGTTGAAAATACTACTTTAGTAGCTAGGTAGCGTTGAACATGACTCTTTTAGCCATAGAGGTCAGCTTATGTTTTGTTGATGCTAAATTTGCAAAAATCCACAGGAACATGGTTTCATAGGAAATCAAAAGAACTATAAGCTCAAAAATATGCAATTTGTAGAAGTTGTGTATCTTTCATTTGTAGAATATTCGTTATTGTTCATTCTCTTTTTAATATAATTTTATTTTTTGGTTTTCTTTAAAGTTGTGTTAGTGACTAATTGATCTTGATTTGTGACCTTCAAGAAATATATGGAAAATACATTATATCTAAGTTGAGAGGACTTGAAAGAATGAGAGATGAAACTATAAGAGAGATAAGTGAGACTATATATCTAAGATTATATTTATGACTTTGATTGTGCATGGGATCAAGTATTGCAATTATAATGGTGAGTCATCCAATTTCAAAATATATCCAATCAAGATTGTCTTCTTTAGTGGATCATGTTTGATTTGATCAACAATATTTTTCTCAATTCATTATTTTATAGTTAAGTATGTTTCCCTTGCACTTAAATTTTCTTATATTCTTACTTTTTTTAAGTTGAAAATAGCTTCCAATTGGGTGTGTTTTAGTGTAGGTGATATATAGAGGAAAATTTACATATGAATCAACTTCTTCCTCAAGTAGAAAAGCACGACTTATTTTAATGTTTATTTATGTATAGTAAAAAAATTCAAAATTTTCATAATCTTAATAATATATAAGAAAATCAAATTTAAAATCATCTTATCATATCCTTTCATTAAGAATGTCATATGAATAAAAAAAATATTCTTCTAAAAAAAATTCAAATAAAAGGATGACTAATAAGCAAGGAAAAAATTAAAATTAAAAAAGGTTATTTTTCGTTTTGATATCCTATTATTTTTATTTTAAATTAAAATAATGATTGTTAAGATATAACAAGTTATAAAATACACATATTTTAATGATTAAGAGATCTTTCAAATGATAATAAAAAATTTAAATTAAAGTAATAATTTTTATAAACTCTTAATTTCAGGTATTACAATTTACTTGATAATAATGGAATTAAAATCAACAATTGTTGCCATGTGATATTAACATGTATATTTTCTTTAATTTCTTACTAATAATTTTTCAAATTAAATTTTTTTTCAGTAATTACATAATTTACCCCTACATGGCATGGGTAGATACACTAGTTATTATTAATTTTACACCGTGTATCAATTAAAAACCACCGATAATCTAATTTAAAATAACTATTATAAGAATCATGATACATGTTATCGGATTACATAATCGTACTATAAGTGGATAGCTTATTTTTTTTCTTGTTTATATTATACATAAACATACTCTTTGTTCATATTTCAACCCAGACGTTTTTTCAAGTTGTGCACCATTTGTCAAACATGGCTTCAAAGGACCATAGAGTGGCAAGTGCCAACCACATCTCTCGCATACATTTCACTTTCCTGAAACGTGGACGTAACGCTTGGTATCTCCAGTAGGAGCCTCATAAGACTGTTTCAAAAGAGAGTCTCTGGCAGCTTTTAGTTGGCGAACAGCATCTCTAATGTCAATGCGTTCACCTGGATTCCCTGCAGTGCAAGATATGGCAACTCCTACAATTGCATCCACAAAGTAGAATTGTAAATTTGGTCCCTCAGAAGGGTCACCATGGAAAATGAGGGACAGCAACTGAGGGTCAATCACTTGCACTGTCTTGTCCTTCAATCCTGATTGCACCCATTTTCTAATGCTTAGGCCTCCTGTGAAGGACTCATCTGTTGGGCTTTTCCCAGAGAAGAGCTCTAGTAACACTATACCAAAACTATATACATCACCAGCTGCAGATGCTTTCTCTCCCCATCCATATTCTGTGTTAGACAAGTAACAATGCCAAATATTTGTCATGTTTAACAATTTTTAATAAAAGATTCATAAAAGGACATGAGTGGAGAAACAAATTGGCATATGCATTAACATGGCAAGTTTTGTTTAATTAAAGAGGAAGGATGCAAACCTGGAGGTATGTAACCGATTGAGCCCCTAAGGACATGAGTGGAGCTTATGGAAACTTGATTAGTTGATCTTTGAATCAGCAACCTAGCTAATCCAAAGTCTCCAACTTTTGCTGTCATGTCCTCACCCAATAGAATGTTGGTAGGCTTCAAATCACAGTGCACAACTGGGATTTCACTATCATTGTGCAGGTAATCCAATGCACAAGCAACATCAATAGCTATGTTCAGTCTCTCCATAAGGTTCAACCCATTGCCGTTTGCATGCTTCCTCCTCCCCTTAATCCAATCTTCCAAGCTACCATTACACAGGTACTCATACACCAGAGCCAGAAAATCATTGTTTTTGAAGTCAACACTAGAGCATGATGTGATCAGCTTAACCAGATTTCTATGCCTTGAGTTCTTCATGGTCTCACATTCTGCAAAGAAACTCTTTAAAGAGCCAGTTCTTAGGGTGTCAAGAACTTTCACTGCAACAGTAGTTCCATGACTTAGATGGCCTTTATAAACTGAGCCAAAGCTACCAACTCCTATTAAGTTTTCCTGGCTGAACTCCTCGGTCGCCACACGGAGCTCATCATAAGAGATCATTGGTGCTTGAGGTTTCAGCTGTTCAGATACGGCTGCTGCCGCTGTTACCTTCACCCTTTTGTTCTTTATATACAGTAGTAGGCCAATTGTGAGACACAGTATTAATGTTACCACGATGGCTACGATGATGTAAAGTCTTACATTTCTTCCATGGCCATGAGGCATGCATGGGACACGCAAGCAGAGTTTTCTATTGCCTTCTAAATGGACAGCAGAGACATTTTGGAAAATTCCACCACTAGGAATGGCTCCTTCTAAATCATTGTACGAGAGGTTTATGAGCTTAAGGACATGTAGATTTTGAAGTTCAATAGGAATGGTTCCAGAGAGTTGGTTGGAGGACAGGTCCAGAGTTTCCAAGCCTTTAACATCTCCAAGAGCCTTTGGAATGGGACCTGAAAGCTGATTCCGGGCCAATAACATTTTTTCTAAGCTGAGACAATTGCTGAATGAGCTGGGGATGCCACCGTACAATTGATTGCTAGAAAAGTCAATGGTGGCAACACTAATCATTCTCCCAACTTGAGGTATTGGTCCACTCAAAAAGTTCATAGACAAGTTCAAAACCTTGCTCAAAGTTGGGAGATTGAGGATTTCCACAGGTATGCTGCCATTGAGTTTGTTGCTTGATAAGTCCATGTAAAGCAGGTTTTGCAACTTCCCAAAACTGGTAGGTATTGTCCCCACAAGTTTGTTTCTTGACAAATCAATCTGGTTTAAATTCAGGAGATTACCAAGGGAGTTTGGTATACCACCTGATAT